GAGAGTGGGTGGGGAGTGAGGGTGGAGGGTGGGGCGGGAACTGGGAGGAGGGGAGTTATGAGGGGAAAAAAGAGGGACAAATGTAATAATCTGAACAATAAAGATTTAATTAAAAAAAATAATAAAATAAACCCTTATCGGATATAACATTGGCAAATATGTTCTCCCATGCAATGGGCTCTCTTGTTGTTTTGTTGATGGTTTCTTTTGCTGTGCAAAAACTTTTTATTTTGGTATAGTCCCATTTGTTTATTTTCTCCTTAATTTCCATAAAACTGCCCATCTTTTCATGTAAGACAATAAATAAGTAATGTATTTGGTCATCTATAATGCTAGGTATGATCATATGATTAAGGTCAGGCCAATAATTTGTGGAATTATTGTGCAGTAGCTTCTGGGAGCCTTAGTATTTTTAAAAAGCTGTCGCCTATCTTCTGCTTCCCCCCACAATTTGGATTCTTCTTTGTCTGTTCCTCCATCCTGCTGCTGGGCACACGGAGCACTCACCTTTGGGCCATGAGGACAAAGGCCACATTTCAGGAGGGCAGCACTGGGCACTGTTATTTTAAGTCCTTGTTAGGTATAGTTGAATCTAATCTTTTTTTTATTTTTTATTTTATTTTTATTTTTTGAATCTAATCTTAATACAAGAGATAAGACCTTTCCTTCCAATGTTTCAACTAAGTAGAATTCTGTGGATTATCACTGTAAAACTCATAAATAAATCACCTAGAATTTCCTGCTTTGGTTTCTTTGAAACAGGACTTCTCAACCCCTATTCACATTTAAGACCAGATAATTCTTTCCTGTGGGAGGCTGTCTTTGGTCTTGTAGGATATTTAGTAGCATCCCTGTTCTCTCTCCACCAGTCAAATGACAGTCTAAGTGTCTTCTGGAGACAAAACTACCCCCAGTTGAGAACTACTGTTTTAAAATACAGTGAGAATTTAAAGACACTTGTAAAAACAACATACTATACAATTTTTTTTTAAAAAAATTTACTGTTGTTTTAGCTACACCTAATTCAATAGCAATTTTTTTTTTTTTTAACAATCTGTCTTAGCAAGTCTTTCAAAAGCATTCAACACAGTTCTCATATGGACGACAATTTTGTTTCTTTACATTCATGTTAATGTTTTCTGTACATTTTTAAGTAAAATAAAACTGGCAACTGGCCTAACAGGCTCGTGAACACACACATTTGAGTCTTGGTGCTACAATTCCACTGTGGGAAATAAAGTGTACTTTATTACTAGAGTAATCTATTGGCAACCAGAGAGTGGTCGATATGCTGTGGGAATTGTTCAGAGAGAAAGGAGAGGGTCATTTGCTTGCGAGGTAATTAGGTGGAGGTATTTGAATGAGTTTTTAACTGTTGACAAGTAGCCTGAGGTGGATCCACAGAGGGCTGTATGTACATGTCACCTTGGAAGCTTGGAAGATTTGGGGCCTCACCCCAGACCTACAATCTGAATCTCCAGGGGTAGAATCTGTGTGTCTAGAGGCCCTTGAATTCTGATTCAGCTAGGACTGGGTTTAGGAACCGCTGCTCCCAGTCATCTTGACATTCAGTCCGCTCTACTGGATGAGGGCTAAGGAAAATGCACAAAGACACACAATTCCACTCACAGTTTCAGGGAACTCCTTGCGCTAACCTTTCCTGCCTCCCCTTTATAATTAAGACTATATCCCACTATGTCCCACTCTCTCAGAGATGACCAGGCAAACAGCTAGCTAATCGAAATTAATCTATGCCTAAAACTCTTAGGTTTTTGTTATATTTGAGGAGAGTTTTCAAATGTTTTCATCTCAAAGAATGACTAATATATGACTTTTGATGTCCAGATCTTTGAGGAACCTGCCCAGCTGGCAGGCAATGTTGGGTTCCAGTCTTCAGTGCCCAGCTGGCAGGCAATGTTGGGTTCCAGTCTGTTTCAGGTCTGTCTGAGTCTCCTGACTTCAAAGCTATGGTTGGATACCTACCATGTAACTTTATGATATTTGGGTTACTCACTTCCTGGATTTTCTCTGATCTGAGGTCTAAGGCTGTATGAGCAATCACTTTTCACCCTTATCAACGAGGTCAAATAATTTCATTAATTAAGTATTCCCAATAAACCCTTACTTTTATTCATTTTCCCAAATTTGTGCCAAAATGGGGGGTGGGGGAGGCTCAGACTAGGTTTATCATCTAGGGAGGCTCTAAATTATACCCCACAAGAAGCTAACTGTAGGAAGTCGCCCCTGGCAGACAGTCCCTCAGAGCTTCAGGAGAAGTCTTTCTGTCTGGAAGAAGGTCACCTGGCAAACTTACTTATTCCTCCGAATCCTTTTCATTTTTATAGAAGGATGTGATATGCTTTTAAATAATTCTCTGAGCTTTACACTCTGAAGCTTTTCCTCAGAAAGGTCCTTATATACTTTAACAAATATATTCCTGTATTTATTCATTCAACAAATGAATACTCTAAGATTTTAAGAGAGGTGTTGTAAGAAATACAAAGACAAACTGAGTCCTGCCTGTAAGAGGTTTAGCATCCAGTAAAGGAATCAAGACATACACATGGTGGTCTTACAGGATGGGTAGAATTTAGAGAGGTTTGAGAGACTGTCTACCTCAAGGAAATAGTACAGGTTGAGCAAAGGCACAATGGTAAAGGAAGTGTCTGCCCTGAGAGCAAAGCAGTTTCATTTAAAGGAGCATTCAACACCCATTCACAACAAAAACATCCAACAAACTAGAAACAGAAGAGAATTTCTTCAACCTGATAAAGGACCCCTAAAAACCCCCATAGCTGACATTACTGAATGGTGAAAGACTGAATGCTTCTGCCCTAAAGTCAGGGACAAGCACGAATTTCCACTTTCATCTGTTCTATTCATCATTGTATGGAAGGTTCTAGCCAAGATAATTAGGCAAGCAAAATAAATAAAAGCCACCAGATTGGAAAGGAAGAAATAAAGTTTTCTCTAATCAAAGATGGCAAAATCTTTTTATGTAGGAAGTTCTAAGGAATCCACATTTTAAAAAAACCTACTAGAACTGAAAAACAAATTCAGCAAGATTAGAGAATACAAGATCAATATATAAAAATCAATTGTATTTCTATACACTTGCAATGAACAATCTGAAAATGAAATTAAGAAAATAATTCCATTTATAATACTTTCAAAAATAATAAAATATTTAGGAATAAATTTTAACAAGAGAAGTTAAGAATTGCCCTAGCTGGTTTGGCTCCCTGGATAGAATGTCGGCCCATGGACCAAAGGGTCCAAGGTTCAATTCCAGTCAAGGGCACACACCTCAGTTGCATGCTTGATCCCTGGCCCTGGTTGGGGCACATAGGGGAGACAACCAATCAATGTGTCTCTCTCACATTGACATTTCCCCCTCTCTGTCTCTCCTCCTTCCCTCCACTCTCTCTAAACATCAATGGAAGAATATCTTCAGGTGAGAATTAATCAAAAAAGAATAATAATAAAAATTATGAATTATACACTGAAAACTACAAAATGTTATTGAAAGAAATTAAAGACCTAAGTAAATGAAAAGACATCCCATATTCATGATATTCGTGGATCAAAAGACTTAACTGTCTTAAGACAGCAATAATCCCCAAATTGATCTCCAGGTTCAATATAATCCCTATCAAGATCTCAAATGCCTTTTTTCTTTTCAGGAGAAATTGGCAAACTGATCTTAAAATTTATATAGAAATGCAAGAGGCCCAGAAGAGCTGAAACAAGCATGAAGAAAAAGTTGGAGGATTCACACTTCACCATTTCAAAACTTACTATGCAGCTACTGTTATTAAAACAGTGTGGCATTAGCCTAAGAATAGAAGGGCATAAGCTATGGGAAAGGGTAGAAAGGTACAGGTAGAAAGGGAGGTTGCAGTAAGGAAATAAAACATTCTCTATGGGAACTAGGAAGCCACTAGATTTTGCAGAGACATGCTGTCCTCAGAGGAAGGATTCTGAAGAGTCATTGCAGCAGCAGTGTGTAGCAGGAGCAGGAAAGTAGAGATATGCAAGATTGAAGAAAATCGCCTGGAGGGCTGTTATGCTAGCCTGGGTAAGAGATAATAAGGGCCATAAACTGGAGCAGTGGCAATGGAAATGGGGAAGAAAAAACAAAGGTCTCTTGCATGACTCATCCTCTTAATAATCCTGTACAAAGAGAGCAGGGTCCTGTGGTATTTGCCTCCAGAGAGTGAGTGCCTCCTTAATTTTGCACTCCAGCCACCTGACCTACCTTACCCTAATCCCAGCCCTGAGAAAGAGGTGGGATTGTCCTCATTTTTCTGAAAGAAAATCAAACCCAAGAGAATTGAGTCATCTCATCAAGAAGTATTAATGGGCACCCACTAAGTGCTGACAATTGGGCACTAAATAACAAATAAGACATTACCTTTGACCACAGCAGTAGAGAGTACAGTTTACCGGAGGGAAGCCAGGCAATTACAATTCAAAGCTGTGATGGGGTAGTGAAGAGCACTGGATCTGCAGTCAAACTGCTTGGGTTGCAACCATAGTTCCACCATTTCCATGTGACCGTGGCCAAGGGGATAACAATGATACCTACTTACTTCATAGCGTTTTAAAAGATTGAGTTACTACATATAAAACACTTAGAACAGTGCTTGGCACATGGTAAGTGGTATTTTAGCATTTCCTGTTGAAGGAAACCAGAATATGTTCCCTCCAAAATATGGCTCTTTGACATAAAAATTATTTTGACCAAAAGGCAGTTTTAAAAGCAGCAATCCAGAAGAAGCTCCCTCGACCCTGCCCCCCTTTCTGCCTGAAGGCAGGATATACATTCTCCTTGACTGGATAGACTCCACTCTTATCAGCCCAGACATGTCATCAGAGGCATCTGCAAAAGAACCTTACCCCATTAGTTTCCTCCCATACATTTACTACCCCATTGTTTGCACCCTTGGAAGCTTAAGCCATTTGCGCCACAAATTTACTGCTCTTTGCTAAAGATAGAGCTCTAAGCCCTCTCTTTGAGTTACTCTCTCTACATGCTCCTATGTATATGTGCAATGTACATGTTAATAAACGTGTTTGCTTTTCTCTTGTTAATTTGTCTTTTGTCATACGGACCCCAGCTGAGAACTTAGAAGGGTAGAGGAGATATTTATTTTTCCTGCCCTACACTATCATAATGATGACATTGCAGTCTAGGTTGAATGGAAACACAAAGAAAGTGCATTTATATACACTTTGGAGAAAGAAAATCGGGTGGGAAAGCTTCCTGGAAGAGGTCTAATCTGAATTGAATACTCAGAGCTGCCTAGCCCAGGTCAATATCCCATATGCAAAATAATAATATCTATCTATCTTACAAGGTCATTGTGAGAATTGACTGAATATACAAATGGACAATGCCACACCAGATATTAAAATAGAAATATGACCCACAACCTGCAGCAACCTGCCCAGGAAACCAACTCATTATGTAGAATAACCAGACCAGGAAGCCAGCCTGCCCTAAGTCAGACTTGGAAGAAGTCAGATGGCTACCTAGAGTGACCGTCCAAGGAGCTAAAGAATAAACTCTGTAACTTTTGGCCCCAAATGGACAGGACTTGATTAATAACTGACAACCTCCCTAATTTTTGTCCCCACTTCCAACTTAGGACCAATCAGAGAAAGCCAAATATGCACTTCTAACCAACCACATGTCCCATCCATGCACTATTTGCTTTTAGAACCAATCAGAGGAAGCCAAATATGCACTCCTAACCAATCACATGTCCAACCCATGCACTCCAACTTCCCCATGCCAACAGCCTCGAACCAGGGCACACCTGAAGCCTTCCTTTTTCCCACTAGAAAGCTTTCCCACACCTCCACCTTAGTTGAGTCTCTGCCAAATACAGTGGCATGGTTGACTCCCCTGTTACAGCAAGTTCTGAATAAATAGTTTTTCTTTATTCTCATTCGGTTGATCTCTGTTTGCTTCCACTGAATTTAATTTGATAATGTACTATACAAAAAGTCAACTGGAAGGCATAACTATTAAGTCAAGGACTTTCTGAATCATTAGAGGAAGTAGTAAAGGAAACAAAGGCCTGAGGCCTTCAAGACCTGAGCTATTTTCAACAAAAACATTTACATTTTTTTATCTGTATTACAAAGCCTCTGATTTCTAAAGCAGTCAATAGTTTCAAAAGTATTAGGTCAGAACTGAAAGCTAGCCCCCAACCCAAACTGTTGTGGGCTTCACTGTATTAGAAACAGTATAAGTGGTTTCCTACTTACTGTTCTATATCCTGAAGGATGACCAAATTGATCGTTCAGAGAGGCTGAAAAAAACAGACATTTAAAAGTATGTGATTAAGGTCAATTCTTGCAATTCCAGAAGGGAGAGGGATAGAGAGTTAGAAACATTGATCAGCTGCCTCCTGCACACCCCCTACTGGGGATGTGCCCGCAACCAAGGAATCGGAATCGAACCTGGGACCCTTCAGTCCGCAGGCCCACGCTCTATCCACTGAGCCAAACCAGTTAGGGATGTAAGGGGCTTTTAAAATCCAGCTTGTGATTTATCCAGGGCACACCTTCCTTTCCCTCCAGTACTTAACTTCCTTGAACCACCCCTCTGACCCCCTCACCCATCTCCAAAGGATATTCCGTTGTTTTCTAGCACCTCTTAGCAGGCACACAAAGAACTTTTGGTGCGGGTTCCATAACTGACCGCCCTAATAGGTTTCCTTGAGAAAGGACTAGGGAGCTATGGAATAAAAATCAGAGAAGTGGCTCCTAATAATTCACAATATTCTTTCCCTCTGCCGCTCAGGGTAATGAGCTCAAAACTTAGCATTAGGTGTACCATTTTAACTCCGTTGTGAAAAAGGCTTCAAGTCTGGCTGGACTGAAGCCCCTTTCTCATAAGCCACAGACACCCCGACGCACGTGGCGATCACCATCCCTAATTCCCATACATCTCCTGCTGGGGGTCAGCAGGGCCACTGTGTACGCCAAAACCCAGCTCCTTGTCTTGGGCTCCAGAACTCTGCTTTAAGGGAGAAAAGGCAGACAGCAGGGTGTCACCAGAAGGAGCTGGGAATGAAGCCCGAGCAAGCGGGTCCCTGATCCTCAGCCACCCCCTCACCCCCACATTCCTCAAGGACCGAAGCGGGCCCAGGAACCGCCAGTAACGGGTGCTTGGAGGGACGCCAGGGACGCCGGGATCCAGGCAGTCGCCAGCGAGACTCCCTCTCATTACTCCTCCACGAGCCGGGTGCGACCACGCTGGCTGGCGAGCGTTACCTGCCAGGTGCGTGGCCAGCAGCGCCAGCCCCAAGCTCATCCCCTTTTGAATGGGGGAGGGGAAGTAAAGGATGCTGCTAGGCTAGCCCCCTATCGCCCCCCTTCCCCTCCCCCTCCCTGCGGAGGGCGGAAGTAAACGATTAAGGGGAGGACCTCTCCCTGCAACAAAGAAGAGCCCTGGGGCACAACCTTGAGGGCTGTCAGTCAACCCCTATTTCTTCGGCATCTCCTCTGTCCCAGGGTGTCTTGGAGGCTGAACTCAGCAAAAGAATCCCTGCTCTCAAGCAGCTTTCTCCTGTAGGTGTTGGGGATGGGGTGACACGGGGAACTCCAAAACAACAGAATCAATACAGTAGTTTCTAAAGCGTTAAAAATGGTGGGGAAAGGGGGAGACTTTCCATTGGGAAGTCAAGAAAGGCCTTTCAGAGGCGACATTTTAAAACATCTTTATTGTTGAAAGTATTACATACTAAAGGCCCGGTGCATGAAATTCATGCATGGGTAGAGTCCCTAGGCCTGGCCGGTGATCAGGGCCAATTGGGACTTTCCAGCTGCCAACCAGGGCCTTCCTTCATTCCGCACCGCCCCCTGGTGGTCAGCGCACGTCATAGCGAGTGATCAAACTCCAAGTCTTTGATTGGTCTCTTCCCACCCATCTACCCACCCATGCCTTCCCTCTGAAATTCAATGCCTCTGGATTTATTTTGCTCAACAGTTTATTTTGTTCATTAGATTCCACATATAAATGAGATCATGTGATGCTTGTCTTTCTCTACCTGGCTTATTTTGCTTAGCATAATACTCTCCAGGTCTCTCCATGCTGTCTCAAAGCGTAAGAGATCCTTCTTTTTTACAGCTGCACAGTATCAGAGGTGACATCTGAGCTGAAAGCTGATGCATGAGAAGAAGGAAGCTTGGTGAAGACCTTGGGACAAGAAGTGCAGGCCCAAAGAAAAGCAAGTGCAGAGAACCAGAGGCAGGAGCCAGCTCAGTGTTTCAGCTGGAGCCCTGAATGGAGGGGGAGTGGGAGCAGGAGACCAGACTGCAAAGCCAAGGTCATGTGTGGCTGGGGAGGCCATGATAAGGGGCTTTGGATTTTTTCTAGTTGCAGCGACAAATCAGTGGAGGACTTCAATCAAGGGGATGCCCTGACCTGACTTCTTTTTTAATAGATTGGATGAAGAATGGACAGGAGATAGGAAATGTGTTAGGGCAGCGGTTCTCAACCTTCCTAATGCTGCGACCCCTTAATACAGTTCCTCATGTTGTGGTGACCCCCAACCATAAAATTATTTTCATTGCCACTTCATAACTGTAATTTTGCTACTGTTATGAATTGTAATGTAAATATCTGATATGCTGGATGTATTTTCATTGTTACAAATTGAACATAAAGCATAGTGATTAATCACAAAAACAACATGTAATTATAAATGTGTTTTCCGATGGTCTTAGGTGACCACTGTGAAAGGGTCGTTGGGCCCCCAAAGGGTCGCGACCCACAGGTTGAGAACCGCTGATCTAGAGGAAAACATTGCAGATCTCATGACCCAGGTTGGGTGGAACAACTGGAAAGTGAAAACAAGATACCTGCTACACAGAAGAGTTAAAGGTTGTTCATTTACACTGAAATCTGGAACATTGTTTTTACAAGCCAAAAGAAGATCAGATGGCTTTTGCAACTAACTACTATGTACAGACATATTTTATTTTATAAAGTGCGCATTCTTCTTATCACTTACTGTATAGTTCGTGTATAGAGTGATTTCCCCCCCAGTTTTTTGAGCATGGTAACTTCATACCCTGTATGTTGGGCAGTTGTGCTATTAAATATCAAACACTAAAACTGTGGTGGTGCCTGTGTAAAATTGTCAAAATTTTAAATTTTTTTTTAAAATATATTTTATTAATTTTTTACAGAGAGGAAGGGAGAGAGATAGAGAGTTAGAAACATCGATGAGAGAGAGACATCGATCAGCTGCCTCCTGCACATCTCCTACTGGGGATGTGCCCGCAACCCAGGTACATGCCCTTGACCGGAATCGAACCTGGGACCTTTCAGTTCGCAGGCCGACGCTCTATCCACTGAGCCAAACCGGTTTCGGCAAAATTTTAAATTTTTTTTATGAAGTCATTTGTAAACATTCCTTTTGTTCATTGATTTGAAAGAGAGAGAAACACTTCAATTTGTTGTTTCACTCATTTATGCATTTATCGGCTGGTTTTTGTATATGCCCAACTGAGGTACGGAACACCCAACCTTGGCGAAAAGGGACAATGCTCTAACCAACCGAGCTACTCGGCCAAGGCTCTCTCATTCCTTTGTATGTAGTAGGTGCTGTTTGATAAAAGTTGCTGTGTAATTTTTTCTATTAGACATATAATAGATCCTTCCATTAAAATTAGACTGTGTGGTAAGACATTTATAGAGTTTAGGGTCCTTTAATTCTCAACGCAGAGTGACTGTTGAGCTAACGCCAAATAGTGTGTTGGTGATACATTTCAAATTGCTAAAAACACTTAACATTGCTTATTCAGAAATACCTGGCACTACTATGTTGCAAAAACTCAGACTTGAATGGAGATTTTATGTCTAAGTCCCTGAGGTCAGATGCTAAAGTAATGAAGAGTAGCCACTGCCACTTTAATGTGAAAATCTTTAAGTACAGAAAATGACAGAATTGCCTAGCAGCGGTTCTCAACCTGTGGGGTCGTGAACAATGAAAATACATCCTGCATATCAGATATTTACATTATGACTCGTAATAGCAGCAAAATTACAGTTATGAAGTAGCAACGAAAATAATTTTATGGTTGGGGGTCACCACAACATGAGGAACTGTATTAAAGGGTCGCGCCATTAGGAAGGCTGAGAACCACTGGGCCCTAATGTAATGAGGCATTCATTAGAGTTTTGCATGAGATTTGAATACTTCAGTAGGACCCTACATTGTTCATCTAAAATAGTTACCATAGAAAACCTGGCAGCATTTTAAAACACAATTACTCCATCTTTTCTTTGAGCTACTAATTGGGGGGCGGGGGACACAGAAAAGGAAAAGAGACCATATTAAGTTTGTGCCCGATGCTTCGCTCGAAAACAATAACTTGTAGTAGGCTCAAGTTTTTAAGAAATTCTTTTTCTTTAAACTAGTCTATTTCTTTAAACTATTTCTTAAACCTAAATTCTTACCAATTAACTTTTTTTACTGATTATAGAAGGCAAGGATAATAACTCTTGCCACTCAACAATGTCGAGTCAGGGGTGCTAAGTATTGACTATGAAGGAGATCCATGTAATTATCCTAGCAATACTGTGTGGGGGGGGGGGGGAATGAAAAAGTTAAGGAATGGTATTGTGCTTCATAGAGGAAAACCCTTCACAAACACAGTATTTGTGTTGTTTTTTTAAAAAAGTTTCCTAGATCACCAGTCATTAATGTATTGCAAACATTGAATAATATTAAGGGGAAAAGGAAACTAAGAAAAATTAAAAAGATAGTTATTGGCTTCCAGAAAAACAAAGTTCAGTAATATAAATATCAATAACTGATTAATCAAAATTATGATTAATTATTTAAGAAGAATGGGAGAGGAAAGGTACATAAGGGTAGTGGGAAGGAAGGGAGGTGAGAACGAGTTGAATATTTCTTAGTGAAAACCAAGGGATGAAAATCTAACCTGAACAACCAAGAAAGGGCATTTATTCATATTAGAAATGTGAAGATAAATATCCAAGCAATCAAAACAGTGCAAATTGGTTTCTTCTGGAAATTAGGGAATGAGGCAGGAGAGGGACAGTAGGAACAGCCCACTGCTTTTCTTCTTAAAAACTTTGCATGTGTTGGGGCTGAATTGTGTCTTAAGCCAAGTTTATGTTGAAGTCCTAATCCCCAGTACCCCAGAATGTGTATTTTGAGATAGGGCCTTTAAAGAGGGAATTAAGTTAAAATGGAGTCAGAGAGAAAAATGGCCATCTTCAACCCAAGGAGAGCGGCCTCAGGAAAACAATGAGAAAAAAAAACAGCTGACACATCGATCTTGGACTTCTATCCTCCAGAACAGTGAGAAAACACATTTCTGTTGCTTAAGCCAGCTGGTCTGTGGTATTTTGTTACAGCAGTCTAAAAAACTAATACAGCACGTACAAGTGATTTTTAAAAATTAAGGTTATATGTATGTATTATTTTTATTAAAAATTAAATTTTAAGAAATTTAACAAATGCCCTAGCCAGTGTTGCTCAGTGGATAGAGCATTGGCCTGCAGACTGAAGATTCCGGGGTTTGATTCCAGTCAAGGACACATGCCCAGGTTGTGGGTTTGATCCCCAGTAGGGGGCATGAAGGAGTCAGCCCATCAATGATTCTCCCTCATCACTGATGTTTCTATCTCTCTCTCTCTCTCCTTCTCCCTCTCCCTTCCTTTCTGAAATCAATAAAAATATATTTTTTAAAAAGAGAGAGAGAGAAATTTAACAAAAGTTATTCTGAGACACATAACATCAGTGCCCTCCAACACCTCCGATAGTGTTTGAGAATATTTATTTACTGATTTTTTTTCCCCCTTAAGAAGTTCCCTTTGACTTAGTTATTAACTTGGAATACAAGTTTTGGTAGTTACTCAGCAAACCTTTATGAAAGGTTTAGAGAAGAGAAACAATTGTGCCACAGAGGCACAGCAAGTTAGTGCATTGGCAGTTCCCCTTTCTCCCCGCCTCTTATGCCGAAGTGTCAGATGTTGATTCTGTGACGTACTCCCTGTATCAGTCAGGGTCTAGCCTGGGAAACATAAGACTCACCAGGTATTGCACCGAAGAAAATTTAATGTAAGACTTTGACCAAACCAGTATTGGAGAACTGAAAACAAGCAGAAAGGGAGCAATGAGGTAACACACAGAGATGGCAACTTCAGGATGTAGGTATCACCCCCAGGTCAGAGGGAGCAAAGGACCAGCATTGTCAGAACCTAGGAATTCCGAGGAGGCGCCCTGGGAAAGCTGGGGCTCAAACCTCTGAGCGGGGGTGCTGCCCGGCTGGTGC